CAGGAACACCACCAGGCTCGTCTTTCTAACCAGTCCCGTCATGCACCTGACCTCCGATTTGTCTAACATATAAATGACTGCTGATTTGAACCTAAGTCTCTTGCTCAATTTACCAATCTGGGAGGAGGCACTGAAGGTACACACAGCACCATGGTGCTCTCCACGCGGCCTCTCTCCAGCAGAGTCACCTGGACCCGTCACATGATGAGTAAGGGCTGCAGCAGTCAGTTCTGGAAAAGCAGAGCACATCCGCAGGGCTCCATCAGCCCAAGCAGTCACAGGTGAGCCAGATGCACCCACCTCTCCTCTTGAGGAGGGAGGGAAGTAGTATGGCACCAACACCTCTGAGAAAGGGGAGAAGTCACAGGGAGGGTCTGAGCAGGGAAATGACACGAAATGCTTTCTGCTTAACAAGTGTGTGAGACCCTGTTACCCCGGGCTCCTCCTCTTGCTTGTTTTCCACTCCCCTCACCCTTCCTCTGACTGTAGAGGCCAGGATGGGTCCACGCCCATGGAAGCTGCTGTCTGCCCGGACTCTGCCCATCAGACTCCCCCACTCCCTCTTGCAGAGCATCTGTCCTAGCCCACAGGCTGTGAGCTCGCCACAGCTGGGATGGTCTCTTGGGTGCAGAGAGAGGGAGGAAGAGTGCGGAGCTTCCTGCCTGGATGTCTCATCACTGGATGCAAAGTCCTGCTAGTTCACGGGGCAGTGCTGGCGCTGTGGCTGGGAGGCAAAGAGGGGCTTGAGGAGCCCCTGGGTTGACTGCCTTCTTTGAAAGGCAGTCACTGGCTGGCTCTGCCCAAGGTGCCATTTCTATTGTGTTGTTTCCGCCAAGAGCGAGTCCTCCTGGGAGACGAATTCCCACTCTTCCCTCTCATGTACACCCATTTGGGACAATCAGAACGTTCTCGTCCAGGAATGTTCTCAGGCGAGCACCCCAGGTTCCGATCATCTGGCAGGGAGGTTGACACTCATGGGAGCGGCCCTGCAGTGCCATCTGGTTCTCCTGTCATGAGGGCATGTGTACCAACCATCTGGCAGCACAAGAAGGGCACCAGTGCCTGAACCCATATGCTGCCACCTGACCCTGACCATGGGGGCCAAGTGGCTCCAGCTGAGAGCCAGGCAGCAAGAGGCCCACTGAGGCTGGCAGCACAAGCGAGGCGAGCTGGCAGCCGAAGAGGTCAGTCCCGTAGGTGACCCCACCACTTGCCGCCAACTGCCGATTGTGTAGTCCTAGGAGGCAGTGAAGCACAATGGTTCAAAGCTCGAGGTTTTGCTTTTGTTTTTGTCTTGGTGAGTTGGCCTGGATTCAGATCCCACTTCTGCTACTTCCTTTCTGTTGACAACTTTTTTCTCTACAAGTCTTGGTTTTCTTATCTGTAAAATGGGTTTTCCTCCCTGGATTGTTGGAGGATTAGTGAAATAGGAGCAGTCACTCCCTGAGTGGTGGGAATTACCATTACCTGGCTGTGTAGCATCGTTCCTGGTGGTGTTAGTGCTGTTTGTCTTTCTTTCCTTTTCTAGCTTCATTCCTGCTCCCTGGGGCAGCTGTCCAGGGGATATGGAGCCTGCCTGTGGCACATTATGTTTTCCCAGAAAACCTACAATGGGAGATAGTTTTAATGAAACGTAAGTTTTCTTGGGAGATATCAGCATTGTCCCATCCAAAGACATCTGGAGCCTTGACAGCTTTTTTATCCTGGCATCTCTAGGAAGTTTTGAAATTCACATTCCTGCCATTACAGGGCCTAAATCACCCCAAGTGCCTTGTGGAGGAAACTACCACATTGGGCGCAGTCCCGGCAGCATTTTACCACCAGGGGGCGCTGCCTAACTAGTCTGTGTCTCAAAGAGGCGATGGGCGAGATGGCAGGATTCAGAGCCCTGGGAGAGAGGCGGGTTTGGCCTCTAGGCCAGGGGGTGTGGATCTTAAAGGTGAGAGACTTGGTGGGCTGGGTACAGCTGCAACAGGGAGCCTTCCAACCTGGGCTGTTTACAGTTTTCTGTTTGCTCACACACTGTTCCGCGTAATGACCAATGAACTGAGGCTTAGAGAGGTTGCCGGGCTGTGCAAGACCACCCAGCTGGTGAGTGGCAAAGTGAAGGTCTCTCTTAGGCTTGCCTGTTGCCACTGTTAGGGTGCTGAATTTGACCAGTGGGAGAGGTAGCAAAGTGAGGGAGGATGCCCTGCTCGACCCCCACCCACCATGGCTGACGGTTCCTACCCACTCTTTCCCTCCCACCCACTGGGAAGTCAGTGTCTTCTCCCCTATTTGGGAGTTAGGGAAGAACTTGAGATCAGCTTGAGTGGAACTCTCAGTATTCAACCAAGATGGGATTTTCTGAAAACAGCCTGGACTCTTTAGGAACAGTATTCAGTCCTACGAAAGCTTCTTAGATGCTCCAAAGAGCCACAGGAACCCTAGTCTATAAATGCACCTAAATCTGGTGCAGCTCCGGGGACACAGGTAGGCTGGACAGCTGTACTGACCCAGGATGCCTCGGGCCACTATGTAGTGACTTTAGACACCCTGTGAGCCCTGTTTGTGTCGCCTCAGTGAATCCTCAAGCCAGCCCTTTGAGGTGGGCTGCTATTGTCTCCATCTTACAGAAAACACTGAGGCTCAGAGAGTGCCTTAACAGGTCTGGAAAGAAGGGTTTGACTTTCTTCTCCATTTCGTCCACTGTATGAACAAGGAGTGGTGGAGCTGGGGTCTTGTCCTTTGTTTGGGTCTGAGTCTCTAAACAGAGGTGTGCAAAGGACATGATGACTGGTTGTCCTTTCAAAGGTTTTCTGGGCACCAACTCATGGGGACAAGAAAGAAGGAAAAACCCAGCATTTCCAGAGCTCCCCCAGGGAGTCCAACAGGAATGCAGTGAGGGCAAGTTGCAGCAATCCTTCCTGGCCAGCTCTAGAGGCAAGCAAAGGCTTACAGGAGGCAGCCATCAAGGAGCCGCTCATCAGAGGGGAGGTGCACATGCTCTGCAGAGCAGGGAGGTACTCGGCCTGGGAGCAAGGCCAGGGCTCTGGGGTCCCAAGATGGGGAAGCAGCAGGAGATGAAGGGCTTCTCCTTGGGACACTGGTCTTCAGGACAGATGAGATGCAGGAAGCTGTGGATATCCAGGGAAGAGGTTCCTCAAAGAGCACATGCTGGCATCTTCTGCATTTATGAGCCAAGAGAGTGCATGAATTGGAGTGTGTGTGTGTGTGTGTGTGAGTGTGTGTGTGTGTCTGAAAGCTTATGTTAAGAAGTCCTGTTACATTTGTGATCTCTTTTCTTTCTCAACTAGAAGTTGTCGGGCAGGATTATCACCCTCAAAGACAGAAACAACTCTCAGAATGAAATGCCTTGCTTGGTCATAGAGCTTGATAGCTCAAAAGCCAAGGCCAATCCAGGCCCGGAGCCCCAGCTCCACGTTCCTGCCTCGGGACCTTCTGCCAGACCCTTGGCATATCACCCAGGACCGTGTGTGCTGCAGGTTGCCCTGTGCCTGCCTCCTCCAGACACCTGGACACTCTTGTCTGAAGTGTGAGTCCTTATATTTTCACTAGAGCTTAAGGCCAGGATCAAGGGTTCCACCTTTTAGGCTGTTAGTGCCCACCTGCCTCTAGGAGGAAATGCTCAACAGAAAGGATCAGTCGGGCAAGGCCCTGTGCTGGTCTGTGGGGTGGCAATTGGGAGGCGGGCTCTGGCAAGGATGTATGGACCTCCTCATTTGACTTATTTCCAGCTTCTCCCATGAGGTGGCAGAGGACTGGGGTCCAGAATCAGCCTGTGCCCCTTGCCAGCTACAGAGCCCTTCCAAAGGGATGAGTTCTTCACACACAGATGCTCAGTTAATTTTCAGGAGGAAGGTATGATGACGACCCTTGTCCTACAGGTGGGGAGAGGATGACACAGAGATTAAGTGACTTCCCCAAGGTCACTCAGTAAGTGGCAGAGCTGGGGTTTGAACCCAGGAAATCTGGGAGGATGCTGTTCTGCCTCAGTTATTAATAACAATCAGCACAGCTATCTTTTAACTGGCACCTTCCAGTGTCTGGTGATTTCAGTCCTCACAGCAAGGCTGTGACAGGCAGATTCTGTCTCTGAATTTTTCATCTCATAAGTGAGTAAATCCGAGCCTGGCAGGGCACCTGGGGTGAGGTGACTTCGGGTTCTCACAGATGCTATTTGTGCAGCATCTGAAGCCTCCATCCTTCCCCATCTCTGACTCCCGTTTCACCTTGGGAAAGAACATTGCTTTTGAGCCTCAGTTTCCCCCTCCTCTAGCAAGCCCGAGGGACAAGGCTTTTGCCTCTCTGAGGGCGTGAGGGTCGCTGGCAACTCTGGAGCCCTTCTTGTTCCGCTGGCCACTCTGCCGACGTCTCTGTACCTTGGCGAGTATGGGCGGGAGCCGGCCAAGGTGTTGGATGGGAAAGGTCAGTGTTGCTTCTTGTCACCGAGTGGGGAGGGCCCCGCTGTGATTTGTGGAAGGGCAGAGGGCCCAGCAGCCACGTGCTCCGAGCTGCTGTGCAGGGAGCTCACGGTCCGGGGAAAGCCAAGAGTCCCCCCGACCTGAGTAGGGGGCGGGGAGGGAGAGCGGGAGGAGGCAGGGAGTGGGGGTAGGGGGAAACAGGGAGCACGCGGACAAAGGAGGCGGCCGGCAGCCCAGCTGTTTTGAAAAATGCTTCC